TTTTTTTTTTTCCACATTGGTTAGTAAAACATCTTGAAGTTTTTTCTCAGAGTTACCCAGAGAAAGAAGTGATGGTCCTGAAAGATAAATCTGCATTCAGAGTTTTACTAGTTTTCAGAGATTTTTCAATATGCACCTGGGAGGAAGTGGCCCAGGAGTTACCCATAGAGATTCTAGATAGATTGTCACAGTCTGTGTGAGAAACAGAGGCCAGTCTCCAATCAGAAAAGTAATTAGCCCATTCATTAACTGTTTACACTTCTTACATCAATGATAATTGCTTGTTTGAAGTATGAACTATAGCATGCATTATCATCATCAGTATCTAATCAGTAATTGAGTATATGTCTTTATTTCTCTGGGTTGAGTCTTCACGTATTGACCCCAATTTCTTGTTTTTTTCACTCCTAACATTTTTAATGCCAAGAGTCTAATAAATAAACTAATAGGTAATTAGCCTTTACAACACAGCCTTGGTACGTATGTGTTTAGGTTAAATACCTTTCTCAGTATAGTCAGGCAGGAAAAGGGAGAAGTTCTTGAATTACTATACATATTTTAAAATAATTTTCATGGTGAAGAGAGAGAAGAGAAGTGTTTGAATTTCCAAGGTTACCAATGACATTGGAATTCTGTGTGTCAAGTACTTAGGGGACAGGGATACACATGGGGCTGAATTTTGAAGTGTGTGGAGACAGCAGCGCTTTAGAACAGGATTGTCACAGGGCAAGCTGTGTGGGGACGTTGGGGTGGGGTGACGGTCGTATGCCCTAAATCAAAGAGTTGGGGAGTTCTGCCTCTCATGATTGTTACATATTATGCCTTTCCAGTTCCTACTGCCCGTCTAGAATTTTCTGGTTGGGAATTTTTAGAAATAAATTCTATAACTTGGAAGAGAGCTTCTATATAACCTATTATTGAGGGGAGTGGGGTAGAAAACTGATCCTTGACAAGGTTGCTGTTTGCCCATAATAGTAAGAGCAGCAGGCTTTGTGGTGTATTTTTCTATTTGCCAGTTGCTGCCTCTTGTGTTCAAGCACAACAGTTGTAGTTTACTGACACCCTGAGACAGGCAGGAAGGACATCATGCTTTTAACAGTGTCTCCATTATGCCAGCCCATTGTTCCTTCCTCTGCCTTTTTTGCTGCTGCTGAGAGCAGGCTGAGTAGGACTCCCTGAAACAGTGACAGGAAGGAAACTTTCATGATTACATTTGGAACACTCCCAACCTGTTAAACTAAAGTTGGCCATAGATTTTTTTTCAGTTTGAAAGAATAGAGCACCTAGGCTGTAAATACCGAAGATCTCTAAGATGATGACTGTACCAAAACATAAATGTTAGCATCTTTAAATTTAAATTTCTTCAAAGCAGAAAAAAGGTACCTATTTATAAATAGTAATTTAGAAGCTACAAGTAAGCAGATAATTTTGGAAGCATGAGAATCACAGAATGTTAAAACATAGTGATCCCATTGATACATAGCTGGATAATTATCCCTAACTTCTAGTGATTTGGAAATTATTAATGTTGGAGTTTTCTAGGTCTCTGACTTATTTCTGTGTTTTGCCTGGTTTTTGCTTTTGTTTATTTTTGATTTTGCTTTTTGCCCAATCACACGTCCAAAAGAAGGCAGGCCAGGAATGAGAAACAGCCCACACTCAAATTTAGCCTGACCACATTTGGATACCTAGATCTTTATGGACCTAACTTTTCAACTTAAAGCATCAAAGAGATTCTTTTTCTGGTCCTGCTTCCAAACATCAGAGTATTTTCTCTTCTCTCAAAACATTTCAGGTAATTTCTACAGGCGTCCCTAGCTTGAGAATCTATCATTTAAGTGAAAATCTAAATAAAAGTTATCAATAAATAGGTATCTTGCTTGCATAATGTTTTAAAAAATATTTGTGTATTTATTTGGCTGCCCTGGGTCTTTAATTGCAGCCTTCGAGATCTTTAGTTGTGACATTTTGGATCTTAGTTGGGGCATGTGGGGTCTAGTTCCCTGAGCAGGGATTGAACCTGGGCCCCCTGCTTTGGCAGCACAGAGTCTTAGCCACTGGACCACCAGGGAAGTCCCACTTGCATGATATGCTACATGTTTTTTGCTGGCTATACCCCCACTTCTACTCCACTTCTGTATACAGTCTTCCTCATAGATGCCCATGTGTGCATGTATGCATATGTGTGTGCTCAGTCATATCTGACTCTTTGCAATCCCATAGACGGCAGCCCACCAGTCTCTGTCCATGGGATTTCCCAGGCAAGAATACTGGAGTAGGTTGCCATTTCCTACTCCAGGGGATCTTCCCAACTTAGGGGTTGAATCCACGTCTCCTGCATCTCCTACACTGGCAGATGAATTCTTTACCGCCAAGCCACCTAGGAAGCCTATATAGAGGCCCACAGAGCTTATAAATCAAATCATGCCTCATACCCATGTTCATGAGAGCTGGCTCTTTTTTTTTGATCCAGGAGAGAGAGACATTCAGTTTAACCTTGGGTTTCAGTGCTAAAAAGGCTAATCCTTCTGAATTAGACTCTAGCTGAACTTCCCAAAGTTCAGGACAGTAAGAGTCATCATTACTCTGATCACCCTCTGCTGATGCTGGGGGATGTGATGCTCGTGTGAGAAGCAGCCCCACAGCAGGACACTGCTCTGCCACTGGGAGCACGCACTTTTGAGTTCACTGATGTCTGGAGCCAGCAGGTTGTATGTCCACAGTTGCTGTGAGTAATCAGGTGCACATTAGCTTCAACAGATATGGAAGATAGCTTCCTATCCCTTTGAAGGCCCCCACTGCCTCAGGATGTCCCCAGGCAAAATTTATTGTGCCACATAGACTACATTTTACGTTATGTGGAAAATGGGCTATTTTCTTTTAGAATCAAGGAGTAGATTAGAATTGACTGGGGATGATAGGCGGATTTCCTAGTAAACTGTAGCTAAACAGCTTTGTGTTTTTTAGTAGATTCTGGAATCACTGTCTCAGGAATCCTTGCGTGATAGGAAAGATTGTCTTAAGTCTAGACAATCTGGTTGTGGTTCTACCTGAAGGAAGGTCATCTTCCTAAACCTCAGTTCTTGGCTGCTTCAGCTAGCTAGGATTCTAAAGGAATGGACATGGCCTTGCCAAAAAGAAAACTTTCAGACCACCCACCATACCGGAGGTAGGCTAAAACTTTTTTTCTATGTGCAGCCTCCCACAGCTCATGATTTTTATTGCCACCCAGTGGCATTTGCAGTATTAAATGGTGCCAGTGATATTTCAACCTGTTGGGAAACAGCTAAACTGTGTACTGCAACCAGAGCTATTTGTTTGGTCAGCTCCTCCAGGCTCTCATTTTTGTGGCCAGTGTTTTGTTTATGAGTGTCTTCTCCTCTATGGTTTCCGGCTTCAGTGACTCGGAGTGGGAGTTGTGGGGGCTCAGAGGAGAAGGCAGGCAGAAGATGGTTGGACTCACTTCATTTCCTGAATCATATTCAGCATTCTTGTGTCTCTTGGTTCCATCTTGGCTGGGCAGTGCTTCCCACTAGTTTGTCAGACCAGCTTTCCCAGCCGCCTCCGGGGGTGGGAAGGAAAACCACACCTTGCTCTGTGTCACCAGTTAACAGGCAGAGTTTTGTTCAGTAAATATTTATAGAACCTCCCTACTAACCTCGAACCCTGCAACCTTGTACCTTTGAAAAGTTTGTTCTCCCTGCCTGGCCTCCCAAGGAACTGTTTGGACCTGGGCAGTACACCTCAGAGGGACAGTGATGGGGCCCTTCATCTCAGACCAGACACCACAGAAATGCACCCCTCGTGATCTTAACCCGCAACTTGATGGACTGAGCCCCATTTTAGTGGAAGAGAGTTCATGGGTAAGGGTCAGACTGATCACCTTTCACTGTTATCCCCTTTGGTTTGTCAAGATAAACCCCCTGATCAGAGGATGTGCATAGCAGCTTGTGGAAAGGAGCAAGCCTCTGACCTGGTGAGCTCGTCCTGCCTTTATACACAGCGGTGGTAAGGTTGTCAGCCTCCACAAGCTGTTCCTTTTCCCTGAGAGAGAGAGGAGTGCCCTCTAGTAATTTTGGAAATAAGTTAGATACAACCTGAAAATCCAACAGTGGGAAATTGGTTAAATATATAGGGTTTATCTTAGCTAAGAAATACCATGTTGAGTCATTAATGCTGTGTGAAGATACGGTATGTTGAAAAAGAGACGTCAGGGAAAAACAGGATTTCAATTTTATAAAAACAAAGGAAAGCATCAAATTGTTAACAGTTTCCTTTGATGGGATTGTGGGAGGTTTTTAGCCGTCTTTTCTAATTTCCTGCACTGAACATTTATTACTTTTCAGTTGTTGTTAAAGACTCTTATACCCAAAAGTACATAAAACACCCAAAATAAGTTTAAAGAATGAGTCTAAAGTGAATATACCCATGACATCCGTACCCAGGTCAGGAACATTAAAAGCAACATTACTTTTGTCATTGAAACACTGACAATAAAAATGTTATTAAAAATCTTCTTTTCCTGAGTTCTTCACATGGCTATGATAAGAATAAAATAAGACTATATGTGAAAGTGCCTGTGCTTATTAAATCTTTAAACCTCCATCGAGCACAAGGGGCTCTGTCTCCTCTGAGGTGCCAAGTGTGACAGGTGCACATGAGCAGTAAGTCATCGCTGAGGTCTGAGGCTGCGTGTGTCACACAGAGATTTGCACTGAAAATGTGTCATTTGTACCGCTTGTCCTATCCACATGCCCTTCCCTTGCAGGAAAGCCCGGAGGCACTGTCTTGGGCACTGGGAGAAGTACTGGTGACTTAATGTAAAACCTCTTTCTTCCGTCTCAGACTGAATACTCTGGGTTGCTGCATATGGTGAAAGGAGGTTGTGTGTATGTGTTGATGAGTTGATTTCACCAAACTCAGAATTCCAAGCAGTAATACTTACTCTTTTTTTTTTTTTAGCTTTATTATTGAATTATCTAGTCTTTCACCTCTTGAAGTTCAGTTGGAAGCAGTTGATGAATTAATCATAATTTAATCCTTTCACCTGTTACTGTTGTCACAGCTGCTATATAATTTGTAGAGCCAAGTGCAGAACGAAAGTATAGGATCTCCTGATCAAAAAAAAAAAAACAGGGAAAAAGTGTTGTTAAAAGTACGAAAATATAAAACTTTATCCTTTTGTTCATGTTCTCTATCTTGGTTTGTCATGGTATATTTGCCTCTTAATGTCATTCTAAGTAAAGGAAAATTAAAGATTTTCATAATTATTATGAATTTTACTGTTCACTCTAATATCATGCAATGCAGGTTTAAAATGCAAATTTAAGAGCATTCAACTCATATGTGAAATCACCAAAATTGCAGTTTGTATTTTGTAGCTCATACATTGCTCTCACTAGAGCAGTGGAAGTGCTGCAACAAACTCATGCAGCTGCAGCTGTGTTTATTTTGCATTCCACCAGTACTCTTCCTTTGACTTACTGATAGTAGGATTAATGGAAAAGGGACTGTGGATTGCCCTATCTTTTCCTTTCTTTTTACATCAGACACATACTTTCAGTGTAAGTGCTTGATTTGCATAAGAAAGTAATACCGTAGGATCCACTGGTCATTTGTGTTTCTTAAAATGCCATTGCCTTCTTTCTGTGTTCCAACAAGTTCTGGTTGCAATGGAAAATGTGACTTCTTGAGGCTTCACGTCTACTACTGTTGTAGACGTAGACATCGTGTGCTTGCCTCGTACTTGCTCTGAGGCTTGCCGAACTCCCACATGTGGTGGGTCCACCAGAATTCTCCGCTTGAAGGGTATCACAAATGGTCAGTGTAAAGAGGGGCACATGGAGTGGCAGCACACACATTACATGTATCCCTTCTGCTCACACGTGCTCCACTGTTCATTGACTTTACTTACAAAATGCAGATTCAAAGACAGGATAGTAAGAATTTCTGCATGGCAACAGGAGAGCATTAAATGAAGTACCGGGGGGCCATTTTGAGTACAGCACCTGTGCGACTGTAGGGGTAACGTCCCATAAAGCCAGAGCTAACGATTGTTATCTTTGTGATCCTAGTGATTGGGTTCTTGAAAATCTTCCCATGGCTTTCTATTCTAGGTTATGAGTCCTCCTTATCTGCAATTTCATGGGGCCCAGGATTCTGTCCAGGGTGAATTTTAGGCTCAAACAAATAGCAGTTATTCATGGTATAGAGTGCCACTTGCTATTGATACCAATTCATCCTTTCATTATGTGTTTATCAGACGCATTAGCCTATGGATCCTGAATAGGAAAGAATTGAAGCTGAGTCTGTGAGTCCAGGATCTTGGAACTGAGTCACTTGGCTGTACAACAGATTGCCACAACACTGTAAATCAGCTATATCCTTCAATTAAAAAATAAGTCCATACTTACCTGGCAGGGGAGATACCATGATCACGAAGGTGGTTTTCCCAGGGCGAGGCTTATCCATTGCACTCCGGATGTGCTGACCCCTGCTATTTCCCCAAATGTGGGAAACTCGACTGCATAATTTGTGATAGTGGGGGACTGCGTTCGCGCTTTCCCCTGATATAATTTAAAAAAAAAAAAAAAAGTCCAGGATCTTGTGATTAAAGTTTAATAAATGAAATTTATAATTAGTACATTCACAATTGTATTTCTGTTGGCATATTGTTACTGTTAGGTTTATAAACTCAGTGGGCTGGTAAGATGTTTGCAAACCAACAGTTTTCTGAACTTATGTCCAAGAGGCTGTTGGAATATTTTGCCCTTTTGCCTTTGATAGAACATTTCTTCAGAAAATATTCAAGAATTCTATTTGTAACTGATCTTGACAGATAGTAAGTGGAGACCACAAAACCTGCCAGTTAAGAGCCTGAGCTCTGGTGAGGCAGACCTGAGTTTATATCTGCTCTGCCCCTTACCGACGTTCCCAGGTGGCGCTAGTGGTAAAGAACCCGCCTGTCAATGCAGGAGACATAAAAGATGCGGGTTCGATCCCTGGTCAGGAAGATCCCCTGGAGGAGGGCGTGGTAACCCACTGCAGTTTTCTTGCCTGGAGAATCTCATGGACAGAGGAGCCTGGTGAGCTTCAGGCCATGGGGTCGCAGAGTCGGACACAACTGAGTGACCCAACACACACTGTCTTGCCTCTTAGAAGGTGTAGGACTTGGCGGGGTTCACCTAAAGCTCTGAACTTGCTTTCCTCACCTGTGAAGAGACTATGCTAAGAACAGCTAGCTCAAAGGATTGTTCTTAATAATATACAGGAAATGGTTTAGTTTGATGTTTGACACAGACTAGGCATTCAATTTTAACCTATTATGCTTATTAGCATATAACTTAAAAAAAAAAGACTTCAAATGACTATGCTTGTAATTAAAAGTTGAATAACTCTGATATGAAATAAATTATCAGATTAATAAATAGCCTAGTCTAGTTCTATTGGAAACCCAACAGATAGAAATTAAATACAAAGGAAAAAAATGGTGCTAATCTGTACTGGACTGTTTTGAAACAGTAACTATGAGTCATTCATTTCTGTAGCCTTAGACCAGCACACAGTAGGTCCTTGTTGATTAAACTGTGAACTTATTAATAGGTACATATTTTGTTTTTTTTACCTTATGTGACTTTTATCCTTCTAAATTTACAAAAAAACCAAGAGGTCTATTTTTCAAGTCAGTAGAAATAGTGCAGGCATATGTGGTTATTTGTGTGTGAGTATCCCATTTGATTCCTACAACTGGGGCGAGAAAAGGGTAGAGAAAAGCCAAACAAACCAATTTGGTGGTATCTTTATTTTTAATAAAGGTGGGACAACTGGTCATTTTCCATGTCTGAACATAGGTTTAACGTGTGAATCCTGGGCTCAGTGGCAGATGGCCTGGCACCTCAGCTGGGATTTGGGCTATGACGTGGGGCTGGACAGAAATTGAAGCTCCATGTGGTTGCTTACCTGGGCTCGGGTCAGAGCCTTCCCCTACAGCTCCCTGCTGGAGAAGCTGTGTCCATCACGGGCGCAGCATCAGAGATTAAGCCAAGCTCAGGTGCATTCCAGCAGGTGGTGGAGAAAGCCAGGCTGTCGTTTAGGTTCAGGGAAAGATCTGTTTGTCTTTGATAACAAAGCATTTAGGAAGATATTTGAGCCATAAGCACAATTTGAAAGGCTTGAATGTAAAAGAAAATAATCAATAATCAGTAAGGCATTTTCTGTAAGTTATAAGGGACTATGGGCCCCTTTGTATGTGATTTTCTGCTCTGTATTTAAACACCAGACGATTAGTGACCTGGAGATGTGTTTTGGGCTTTGAAAATTTTAGTATAAGTTAGAGACTTTTAACTAGTACAGTTTCAATTGTCCTCCCCCCCCCCCCCNTTAAAGTGCACTGCTGAAATTCATATGCCACATAAGTATGTTTTTCAGAACTGTTAAATCCCAGACAGGAGTGTTTATATCTGCTGTTAATGACATGTGAAAGCACATTAAAGGGCAGCTTTTAGGTGTTTTTTATTATTATTATTTGAAAATGATTTGATGCAATAAATTCTTATACTGTTTTTAAGCTGGATTTTGTGTAGATCCTGTTGATTTGCTTTTGTGGGAATAGAAAGAAAAGTTATTTATCTCATTGGTATACCTTCCCACCTTATTTGAGAAACTATTTAAGGACCTTCAAGGATTAAAGAGAAACTCGTATGAGGATCAAGAAGCAACAGTTAGAAATAGACATGGAGTCTACGGCCGTACCACCCTGAACGTGCCCAATCTCGTCTGATCTCGGAAGCTAAGCAGGGTTGGGCCTGGTTAGTACTTGGATGGGAGAAATAGACATGGAACAACAGACTGGTTCCAAATTGGGAGGGAGTACAACAAGGCTGTGTATTGTCACCCTGCTTATTTAACTCACATGCAGAGTACATCATGCAAAATGCCAGACTGGATGAATCACAAGCTAGAATCAGGATTGCTGGGAGAAATATCAGCAACTTCAGATATGCAGATGATACCATTCTAATGGCAGAAAGTGAAGAGAAATTAAAGAGCCTCTTGATGAGGGTGAAAGAGAAGAGTGAAAAGGCTGGTTTGAAACTCACCATTAGAAAATTAAGATCATGGCATCCAATCCCATTATTTCATGGAAAATATAAAGAGAAAAAGTGGAAGCGGTGACAGATTTTATTTTCTTGGGCTCCAAAATCACTGTGGACAGTAACTGCAGCCATGAAATTAAAGACACTTGCTCCTTGAAAGGAAAGCTATGACAAACTTAACAGTGTATTAAAAAGCAGAGACATCACTTTGCAGACAAAGGTCTGTACAGTCAAAGCTATGGTTTTTCCAGTAGTCATGTATGGGTGTGAGAATTGGTCCAAGGGCTGAAGAACTGTTGCTTTTGACATGTGGTGCTAGAGAAGACTCTTGAGAGTCCCTTGGGCTGCAAGGAGATCAAATCAGTCACGCCTAAAGGAAATCTACCCTGAATATTCATTGAAAGGGCTGCTGCTGAAGCTGAAGCTCCAATACTTTGGCCACCTGATATGAAGAGCCGACTCATTGGAAAAGACCCTAGTGCTGGGAAAGACTGACAGCAGGAGGAGAAGGGGGTGACAGAGGATAAGATGATTGGATAGGGTCACTGACTCAATGGACATGAATCTGAGCAAACTCTGGGAGTTAGTGGAGGACAGAGGACCCTGGCATGCTACAGTCCACGAGGTGGAAAGAGTTAGACACAGCTTAATGACTGAACAACAACAACAAAGGATTAAAGATCCTCTTAAATCTTACATTTAATTTTTAAATTGTGGTATAACTGACATAGTATTATATTAATTTCAAGTACAGAATGATATTTGTACAATGGTGATTTGATATTTATATATACAATAAGTCCCCTACATACTAATGAGTTCCATTCTGAGAGTGTGTTCATCAGTCCAGTTTGTTCATAAGTCCAACAGAGTTAACCTAGGTACTCAACTAACACAATTGACTATATAGGACTGTATCATCATAGGTTTATAACATATTTTCACACAAATGATACAGAAAAAGCAAACACAAAGAATAAAACATTTTAAATCTTACAGTACCTTGAAAAGTACAGTAG